AGAGAAGGAGAGTAATGAAAGCGGGGATAAAATGAACCACAATGACTTTTACCTTCTCAACGGCTGGGAAAGGAAACACCTCGCTTTTGGAAGTGCAAGCATTCATGCATTATTAACTGCAAACCCGACGCGAAAGTACTTACCCCCGTCAGGCAAACTAGACCGAAGAAGTATGATCGTCTTGGTCTTATTGTTAGCGGGAGACATCCATCTGAATCCGGGCCCGGTGCAGACAAGAAGCCAGTCCTGCAGGCTCGAGCAGCTAGCATCTCAATTAGCATCAGAACTAGCATCTCTTCCGCTGCAACAACAACTACGCGACGACAACAGAGACCGTGGAGACAGCGGAGACCAAGGGATAAACGGAGACTTCGAGATTCCCCCGGGGACGCCTCGGCAGACAGACACGCATGAGGCAGTGACGAGAGGAAGAGAACCGAGATCCGAGGGAACAAATATCCGCCATGTTGTTAGCCATGTTGTTAGCCACCCTGCTAGCATATCAACGGCTAAAGCTACAACGGAGCCTCCCTCCCACCCCCACCACCACCACCACCACCCCACCACGACAAGCCGGTTGCTGTAACGGACAAAGACAAATATCTGCAAGCTGACGACATTGTGCATTTAAGCAACAAAAATGGACTACATATTTTTCATCTGAACACTAACAGCCTGAGACACAAACTGGCTGAACTCAGGCAGCTATTCATGAACGGTAAGGCAAGCATATTATGCTTTTCTGAGATTTTGGACAAATTGGACAATTCCATTACAGATTCAGAGATTGAAATTGAAGATTATCTTGTAGTGAGAAGGGACAGGAACGTGAATGGAGGTGGTGTCTGCATGTACATACATAAAGACACCAATTTCAAAAACCGTACTGACCTGCATCATGAAAATATTGAATCTGTGTGGGTTGAAATTCTTTTTGACAATGCTAAATCTGTAATAGTCGGGACAATCTATAGACCACCGGAACAGAGTGACTTTTATGATACATTAGATGGGTGTTTGGCTGATGTGGGGGATGTAGAGACAATTATTATTGGAGACTGGAACACGGATATGCAACGTAAAGACACGTCCGTCTTCAAGTCCTTCAGTAGGATTTGTGATCTGCACGGCTTCAGCCAGCTAATCACCCAACCCACCCGGGTATGTGAAACAACACAAACTACCATTGATCTCATTTTGACCTCTGACAAGTCCAGGATCTCCAGTAAAGGGGTTATAGCATGCGGTTTAACTGATCATTATATGATATTCTGTACCCGCAAAAAGCTAAAACAAAGGGCCGGCTGTCACAAAACAGTCATATCTAGAGACCTCAAAAACTACTCTAGCGAGGCCTTTAACCTAGAACTGGAGAGCCTGGACTGGTCAGATGAGCTCAGTGGTACACAAGTTGAAGAAACATGGCTTGGTTTCAAAAACTAATTCTCTGCAATACTCAATGATTTGGCCCCCCTAAGAACAACCAGAGTAAAAAATCGCGCTGAGCCGTGGATGCACTCCGGCATACTGACCGCCATGAAAACCAGAGACAAAAAATGCTCTGAGTTTCATAAAAGTCAGTCAATGCTTTCCAAAAGCACGAGCAGTGAACTCCAGGCCCACGTTACTGAACTCAAAATTGAAAGAAACAGACTAAGAAATGACGTAAGCTCCATGATCAAAACTGCCAAAAAGAATTTCATCAATGTCAAAACTGAGGAAAACAAAAATAAACCCCGTGAACTTTGGAAATTACTCAATAACCAGCTTGGCTGCAGTAAAAAACTCAAAACGAGATTTTCTAACTTAAACATAAAGACAGATAACAGGCTCATCACAGACAAACTGGATGTGGCCAAGTACTTGAAAATTTTTTTCACAAACATAGCCACAACTCTTGTAAATAAATTACCCTCCCACTCAGGGCTTTTTGGAGTAGATCACATCATGACCTACTACAAAAACCTAGGGGTACGCAAAGATGATTTCAGTCTAGCAAGGGTAACAACAGCAGAGGTACTCATTAAACTGAGCGCCCTCCAACCTAACAAGGCCACTGGCCACGACAATATCCCCTCCAAATTCCTCAGAGACACAGCAACCGCCATCTCACCAGTCATAGCTCACATAATTAACCTCTCCATAAAACAGGGAAAAGTACCCAAAGACTTCAAAATTGCAAGAGTAACCCCCCTGCACAAAAATGGCAGCAAATTGGACCCAGGCAACTACCGCCCTGTTTCTATACTTACCTCCATCTCGAAAGTCATGGAAAAAATAGTATATGAACAGGTCGAAAAGTACCTCGCGGAAAAGAAACTAATCTATGAATTTCAATCTGGCTTTAGAACATCCCACTCCACTGACACATGCCTTCTTTATTTGAGCGACCACATCAAACAAGAGGTGGACGAGGGCAAGTACTGCGGCATGGTGATGCTGGACCTACAAAAGGCTTTCGACACTGTCAATCACCCCATTCTGATTGACAAGCTAAAAGCAATTGGTTTTGATAAACTATCGGTGAGCTGGATGCAATCCTACCTGGAGGGGAGAGAACAGATGGTGGAGGTAAACGGTACTCTGTCCCCCCCCCTCCCAGTGAGCTGTGGTGTTCCACAAGGAAGCATATTAGGTCCGTTACTGTTCCTAATTTATGTAAATGACATGTCATCAGCATGTGACTGCAACTTGTTCCTGTTCGCGGACGACTCAGCCCTGCTGGTCTCTGACAGGAACAGGTTGCAGGTTGAAAAAACCCTCAGCTCCGAGCTCGGCAGAATCTGCACCTGGCTCGCCGATAATAAATTATCATTACACCTGGGTAAAACAGAGTCCATTCTCTTCGGTTCGAAACATAATCTCAGCAAATCCGACGACTTCTCAGTTGCAGTGGGCGACATTATTGTCACAAGTAAGAAGGAAATTACATACCTAGGATCTATTCTTGAGGCAAACCTCTCCTGTGACAAAATGGCATCCAATGTAATAAAAAAAGTCAATCAAAGAACTAGATTCCTATACCGGATCTTCTCTGGTAAACAAAAACACCCTGAAAACTCTGGCAGGAGCACTCATTCAAGGGTACTATGACTATGCTTGCACGTCATGGCACCTCCAAGGCGCTAAAAATAAAACTTCAAACATCGCAAAATAAACTGGTCAGACTACTGCTTGACCTTTCATCTAGAACCCACCTCACCTCTGCCCACTTTGACAACCTAGGATGGCTTAGAGTAGACGACAGAGTACAGCTACTTGCAATGGGCCTGGTCTACAAGATCCACTACACCTCTATGGTACCCATGTACATGTCAAAATTCTTCCCAAAGGTCAAGGAATACCATGATCATAACACCAGAGGGAGCTCCACAAATCATGTGAAACCCAGATTTGGCACAAAAAAGGGGGAATACACGTTTCGCAATTATGCCACATCAAGGTGGAACGCTCTTCCCACAACTGTAAAGGAAAGTAAAACTATACTTACCTTCAAAACCTCTCTTAAAGAGCACCTTCGGGGGAGAGCATTGCAAAACTGGCCCCGGTAATGGTACAAATCTCAACCTGTCGTTCAATGGACAGCTTCCCCCCCCCCCCATCTATGTATATACTCGCATTTTAGACTCTGTTACTAACTGTATATCTGTAGACTTGGTATGTCTTAAATGTCCGGTTAGGATGTATTAGAACGAAATCTAAAATGAAAATTGTAAACAAGCAATCTGTATGTAAAAAAAACCACCTGTATGTAAATTGTAAATAAGCCATCTGTATGTCAAATATGTCTTATATGTCTTAAATGACATGATAAATTGGAAATGGGGGACCCTGATGTAAACAAGATGAAAGTCTTTCTCTGGTCTGCATCCCCTTAACAATTGTATGTTTTGAGCTGTACCCAATATACAAGCTGTTAATAAACTTTTCAATCAATCAATCAATCAAGGTCAGAATATAATATTTGTAAATCTGACTCTGAAAGTGTCCTCACCAGCCATGAACCTCACCGCACGTCACTGCCGTACGGCAACCCAAGTAGGACACTTGACACAGTGGCTTTTGGCAAAGCTCAAAAAGAAAACTCGAGAGAGATGAGTTATTGTTATTACAACGTGACTTCACTATTATTTAACAACTCTTTTTATTGGGTTCTTTTATTTGGGGTTAAGTACATTGTCAGAATAAGTGAGAAATGAATTTAACTTCTGTTAGACAGCTATCATACTGAATACATATTTACTGTGAATGTATGCAAATATTTATGGCATATAGCTGTCTAACAGAAGTTAAATCCATTTCTCACTTATTCTGACAATGTACTTAACCGCTAAAATACCTGAAAATACCCTAAAAAAACGAGTAAAATTCAGGGAAAGGTGATTGTCAAGTGCCAACAATCAGGAGAGATATTTGATAGTTCGTGCTTGAGAAGACTAAACATTTATCTGCAGATCTCTATAAAGTATATTCATTACTCGTTATTCTCTGCTAATAGTTAATTAAAGACTGTATATAATGACTATTTTGCACATCCCTTTCACGATTTCAAGATTTTCTAAGGTTTATTGACATATCATATTATACACAACTACAGTGTAGTTATGCAATAAATGAAAAACTTGGGTCGCAGGTTCCTCAACAGTGCATTATAAGACATCTATCAATATATGTGTATACCTCCACCATTAAACTGTCATATTCTGCACATTTCTTATACTATCTACATCTTATAGGAGTATAATACATATGTATAATATCAGTTAAAATAAGTGTTTCAACATAGTTAACATTGCAGGAAAGCAATATATTAGACGTTAAGTACTTTGTATATCATGCATTTTCACCTTTTCAGAGTGAGTCTACTCATCATCTCAAATAGGCAAAGCTTCTATAATCAGTTTAGATAACAAAGGACAAAGTGTTGATCACTGAGTACAGTATAACGTAATGTAGCCCTCTTGAACATAGGTTAATACAAACAGAAGAGAAAACAAATGTATGGTTTATGAAAGTGTTTTTATTTGATCCCAATTACATAACAGGCATGTGAAATGGTGAATCAAATGGACTTCAAAACATGATTTTCAAACACAATGAATCACTTCTTGCCTCTGGAATGAGAAGAGTTCCAGACTTCATTTGAACCCTTGCTCACCACCAGTTTGCCATCATCGGTCAGCTGAAGGCGAGACCTGTCGGTGTTAGGTCCGTAAGAGTCTGAACTCCACAAGGCTTTGTCACTCTTGCTGTACATGACCAGGTTACAGTCATCCTGCATGACCAGGCGGAAAGCGTCTGACCCATTAGTGTCTGAAGCCCAGACAGGCTGCCAGCCATAGACCACAAAGTTACTATCCTCCTGCAGGCAGAAACAGACGTCTGGCTGTTAACTGTGCACTTTCAAACAGTTGTTCTCATATTTTTGCCTTAACATTTGTTCAGATCATTGCATTTGTATCATGCATCCTGATAAGAGTATCAAGTGCACAAATATTCTGAGTCACTCACCTGTAAGATAGCCTTAAACTCTCCGTTGTTGGACACCAGAGAGTCTCCCTTGCGGAGCTCATCATGTCTGGACAAGAAGTTCTTGCTCATGATTCTGCAACAAAAAGAAAGTCCCTGTTATAAACATTTAGAACATAAAAAATGCTTGGAAAACCTATTTTGTCAGTGGGTTTGCCATTTTAGTTTTACCACCACCAGTGATTTATACGCTGAATAGTAATTATTTTTTACATTACATTAGTTTGTACCCAGAAAACGTAATATGCTAACTAGTAAACTGCATTAATTCCTTCATGCACCAAACTATCTTTTAAACAAAAATGTATGAACCCATCTATCAGGATGTAAATAAAGAAATAATTACACCAGTCAGACTGCAAGAAGAGGAAAAGGAGTGAACTGAGAGGGGAATCCACCTGCTTTTTATTCACCCAAGCTGGAGAGGAAGTGCAATGCCATTCCTTTTTTAATCAGAACTGCATCTTATGTGGAACGCTAAACCAACATAATACATTACTCATTAGCGTGTGGTAACTATCAGTTATCAGTTGAGTCATTCTCAACATGCAACAAATACTGATGAGCATGCATGACCTTGACATAAAGTTAATTATTATTATGTCAGGAAGGTTTTAGCATGGCAGAACAAATACATTTCAGTCAGTTTACCAAAAACACTGAACTTTTGGAGTGTTTCATGTTCCCCTTAATTTCATTACTATAAGTCAGCAGCACTTAAAGGTCCCATGTCATGCTTTTCCGGTTATTACCCGTTCCCTTGTGTGTTATGAAGGTTTTTATGCATGTAAACGGTCTGCAGAGTCAAAAACCCTCAAAGTACACCCTGTAGCGAGTAAAACTCTAACACAGTCTATGCTGCCCCAAAACGCCTCGTTGGAGATTTCTCATTTTCCATTGTTTACTTCCTGGGTACTGTGACGTGTAAATACCCAGAGGCCACACCCTTTGCCAGCATTTCACGAAACAAAGCTTCACAAACCTTTCAGCGATTCATGCCGGATATGTACAGCGTAGGGCACTGAAGAACGATGCTGTTCCTACTTTGTTTGGACCAGCGGGAGATTCGGGTACACAACCTGTAAGTATTCATTGTTGTTTGTGTATTTATGATGTTTAAAACAAACAAGGTATCTACGACGACTGTTTAAATGGGTAAACGTTTTTCGGGCTGCTAAGTTGGGATCGCGGAGAAATGCTCTCCGCAGACCCATTCTCACATGGCTGCACATAACTGGTGCGCTGGTGCACCCCCCGCCAAAAAAGGAGCACCGGATCATTAAGAAGCACGTACGAACTGCGCATGCGTGAGTGGCAATAACTCTCCTTACCAGCAGGCGGCGGTAGTGTGTATTCGTCATTCAAAAGAGGCAACAACCGGAAGACAGACTGCGTGATAACCGAGAGAAGAAGAACAGACTGCGTGATAACCGAGAGATGAAGAACAGACTGCGTGATATAAACAAACAACAAATAGCGTGTGCGTTCCATTTTCACTCTACAACGAGAAGCTCATGGGGCTTTCCCGAACCTGTGTCGAGAGCTGGAGTTAAATGAAATCTCAGATTTGCCTTCTTAGTAGTTTGTTTGGGTCCCTCACTTCCGTTTCGCTTCTCATGCAGCTGAACAGCCAATCAGAGTGATTTCTTTTGCGACTACCTTTGGCCGACTGCCGATTCAACATGTTGAATCGGCGGGTTTTCGGCCGAAAAGGTGTCGGCCCGGCTGAAAAGACCCGACGGTGCGGCACACACCAATCTGAGTAGGGCGTGTCGACCCTCATCATCGGCCTGACGCTCACCGATGCCGATAATCGGCCTGGTGTGTCCGTGCCTTTAGATTCTTTCACACAGACATACGGGTTTTGGGCCGAGGGCGACACCGTACTTCCGGTATCCGCCATTTCACACGAGGTGCAAGCAGAATATCATAGTCTATTGCCTTAATCAATATAGTCAACTCTAAAATGCCACATATATGCGTTGGCATGATAATATTATTGTGACAAGTGGGGTATTCACCTGGTGTTTCCAGAAGATAGACGTAGATGCTGCCAAAATCGACCGAAGGCCACTTTCGAGGATCGTTTTTCCATAGGGCAATCCGACAACCCACACAGCTCTAGTTTACGCTGGTAACGACCTAGAGCACACCCCTCAAGAAAATGTAAGGTGATGAGCATGCATGTGCTTGACATAAAGCCGTCATACTTATTGGCTATGCCAGGAAGGATGTAACATGACCAGCATGAATGCCTTTACAGTCAATTTACAAAACCCACTGAGTGCTTCATTTTTCCCCTTCATTTTAATCAGCAGCGAGTTATGAACAATACTGTACTACTGTCAGAAAGCTCATAACTCCACCTAAAGACTTCTAGGTTTGTTTTATCTCAGGAGGGATTTAGGAGACTTCTCATTGGACTGTGAGAAAAGAAAGGACAGACATTTTTACAGTGCAATCGAAAATGAATAGGTCAATACAGCCAACATATAGAAACATGGATTCAAGACAATGAATATAATCTTAAGAATAAATGAACGAGTACAAATCGAGAAGTAAAATAACTCATTAATTAAAGAGGTAATAGACATGATTGCAGGGTGATGTACATTTCTGTAACTACAACAGAAAAGGCCAGGGGCAGAGGAGGCAGAGAACGTGGTTTACAGAGACTCCCAGTGGAGAAAGATGAGTGCTTCATCTGTAGGGAAAAAGAGCATTTGGCAAACAATTGTCCAATAAGGGAAGTGAAACACACACACACACACACACACACACACACAGCTCATGCAATGAAGAAGTGGGACCTATGCTAAATTCCTGCAGAAACATTTAAGATCTCACCAGAGACATTGTTTATTCTGGGAAACAATGTGATCACATTTCTTGTAGATTGAGGAGAAACTCACTCAGTGGGGACAACTAAAGACTAATCTGATCCAGAGCAAAGAGAAAGTTATGTGTTCTCTCTCGGGATATCAGGAAAGACAATCAGAGAAAAATTCACGGTACCAATTGTTTGTGTTCATGAAGAAGAATCTGCCCCTCATATAAAGATCAAGCATGCATTTTTGGCCTCAAACTTGTGTCCAGTTAGTTTGAAAGGACGAGATCTGATGATCGCATTGGGCGTACGTCTAATCTCTACACCAGAAGGGTTAAAAGTTGTAAGGATTCCTAATGTCGACATGTCAATGGTAACATACAGTCCCAACATTTCTCTGTATGTATATCAGTAGAGGTTCCCTTCTTCAAAATATATGATTAAAAGAGCTAAAATATTGTATCCAACTGTGCAGATTGAATGACTGCAGGCTACTCACACTGTAAGAAACCTGTTCCAAAGTATGTCGGGCCCTTGTGACACAAAAATGCATGCTTGATCTTTATGTGTCACAAGGGCCTGACATACTTTGGAACAGGTTTCTTTCATGATCTGAAAGATTCTATTAAGTATTCTACTCTGTTTTGGTCTGATAGCAGGTGAGCTTTTTCTGGGAATCTGAGTGATGCTCAGCAAAGTTCTTTCTGGTGAACAATTCACACCCACACATCTCACTGACAAAGTCTCAAAATGACCAGTGGTGAGACCTGGGTTCGTTTCTAAGGAAAAGCAACTCCATACACACACAAACACACACATTCTTATCTGACTGCATCTCTCCCCACAGCCATGAAGGAAGTCCACTCCTCACTATGGGCCCAGGGGAAGTATGACTTAGTACTTATAAGACCCACATTTGCTCACAGGCCAAGCAAACAACAATATCCTTTCAAGCAGGAGGATATTGAAGGAATAACACTTGTTTGATTCTCTTTGACAGGCAGGAGTAATTGTTCCCTGTAATGATTCACCAGTCAGAACTCCCTTTATCTCGGTGAAGACGATCAGAGAGAAAGAGTGGAGGTTTGAGCAGGATTTGAAAGCAGTAAATGCAGTAGTCCAACCAAAAGCCCCTAATGTGCCAAACCCTTACACTATGTTGTCACAAGTTCCCTCTGATGCTAAATAGTTTTCCATTGGGGATCTCTCCAACATATTATTCAGTGTCCCAGCACATCCAGATTTAGGTTTTCACTGCGATGTCACCATTTGGACGGACTCAAGTACTCTTTTGGAGTCGTACATGAACGAGTGATAATGGCTCTCATTTAGTTAATCAGGCCATCAAAGGATCAAGTGCTTACGTAGACATTACAGCTATAGAGAGTGAAGATGGTGAGAAAATAACACACACAATGCCTTGTGACCATTGTCGTCAGCCCTAACTAACTGGACTTCTGTTTTCCCCTAAATTACTGATTTTCTTCAAATTAAAGTTCCAGACAGTTCGTCTACGTTTCCTAGAAAGACAGTCAGCCCCATGTGAATGTAGTGTATAAAGAGTTTTAGTCTTTAAAAGGCGAATTTGAAATTTGAAAATCTATTTCTACTCCCCCCACTGTAGTTGATAGTTTCATTTAATTTAATTTCATTTTTATTTGTCTCGCTCATGGTACGCAAAACCAAATGTACAATAATTGCCACAAAACATGACTCTACCATTGAGCGAAAAGGAGCAGGGAGAAGAATAAAATCTTATGTGACCTGCCCCTTTCTAAAAAAAACAAATAAATACAAATAGATGGTCTGCCCTTCATAATAATAATTTTTTTTCCCCAGCCAAACATAACAGTATCTTAGGATACTAAGAGAAACACACAAAAAAATACTTATTTCCCACTTGACGGTTAACGGAAAGAAACAAAACAACACCAAAACATCACATGTATAAGGAAAAGAAAAGTGCAACACCCTCATCTGAGTCCTACTGGAGAAGAAGGTGGAAAGCGACACATGATGATAATAACAATAACAACAATAACAATGGCAATGGGACCCGCAAATACAGAGGAGACATCACATCAAAGACATCAAAAACATGAAGGACCAGAGTACATAGACTTATTCACATTCTGCTTCATATAGTCCCATCTTTCTTAATGTATACAACTTCTTTAACTGAAAAATACAAATACAATTCTTTAGATCCTTGTGTTGAGAATTCCACAATTGTACACCAACTACCAAAATACACATTTGTTTAAGAGTAGTCCTTGCATATGGATGCTTAAAATGTAATTTCCTTCTGTGGTCTTCCTTGTCTGATCCAAAAACAAACAACTGTTGTAAACATGCTGGTAACATTCTGCTTTGTGCCCTGTGCATTACTGATAATGTCTGCAGCTCAGCTGTCTTTGAATTTCAAGAGTCCTGACTTAAAAAACAGTCTGTTGGTGTGTTCTCTTGAGTCAGCTTTATGAATTATTCTTACTGCCCTTTTCTGTAATATTGACAATGGCTTTATGTTGCTCATATACGTGTTGCCCCACACTTCTATACAATAAATGAAAAATGGCAAAATGAGTGAACAGTACAACATCCTCA